TCTCCCTCTACCCTCCCTGTATCGCCACTCACACCACTGGTCCTGTAGGACTCATCCACCCTGCATTCCCTGTATTTTCAGTTTCTATCTGTACCAGTGTACATCCTCTGGTCTAGCCAGACTTGCAAGGTCGAATTCGAGTCATGGTAGTGGGAGTGGGGAGGAAACATTTAGGAACTAGAGGAAAGTTGTATTTTTCATCGTTGTTACATCACACCCTGACTGGCTCATCTCCTCCCCGAGACCCCTCTGCAAGGGTATCTCCAGTGGCCTACTAATGGGCTTTGGGTCTCCACTCCGCACTCCCCCCATCATTCACTATGGTAAGATTTTTTGTTCTGATGATGCTCAGATTATTATTGGATATTTGTAAACATTACTTCTCATTTTGAGTCATGCTCCATCAGCAAATAAAAGTTCCAAAAGCTTTGTTTTATACATGTCATTAAGGTCAACTCTACTTTGAAGAGAAACAGCTCTTGACCAATCATTTTTGCCCACCAACCCAAGGAGCTCATCATCAGGCATTATATCAGACAATGTTCTGAGTTTATTCCGTTATCCATGGTCTGTTCTTAGTCTGGAAGAACCACTGAAATCTGCCCACCATGGGTGACACTATTAGTATTTGAGATACTGGTAGCATGGCTTCCATCACCACAGCAACACTGAAGATACGACTATAACAAGCTGACATATACATGGTGGAAGACACTGAGAGGAGGGTGAGTGTTAAAGGCAACAGTGGTAAATAATGTTATATAAACAACTGTGCAATAATGATGATCAAGGAGCCCTGGTGGTATAGAGGTTACATGTTGGGTTGCAATCCTTAAGGTGAGAAGTTCAATGCCACTAGGTGAACCTCGGGAGAAAGATGGGTCTTTCTAGTCCTATAAACAGTTACAGCCTTGGAAACTCAAAGGGGCAGTTCTGTTGCTATGAGTCAGTATTGATTCAATGTCAGTGAGTGTATGAGTCGATGCATGGATAAAAAATTCAGGCTAAAAGACCATGGGAAGGAGAGTACAAGTGTACCCACAAATATACATAGGATTTGGCAGAAGATATTTCAACATTGGGACGTTCCATTGACAGAAATTGTGTTAGGCTGGTTTGACGAGAAAAACAAATCCAATGTTCCAGTATAAGAAAGAGCTTTATGGGTGTATAAGCAAATGTGGTAAATAAAGCTGATGGCACATGGCTATCAAAAGATATAGCATCTGGGGTCTTAAAGGCTTGAAGATAAACAAGCAGCTATCTAGCTCAGAAGCAACAAAGCCCACATGGATGAAGCACACCAGCCTGTGTGATCATGAAGTGTCGATGGTATCAGTTATCAGGCATCTAAGAGCCAGAACAAAACCATGCCCAAGGTGAATTGGGGAGGGGGAGGCATGGAGTGGAGACCCAATGCCCATATGTAGACAACTGGACATCCCCTCACAGAGGGGTCACAGGGAAGAGATGATCCAGTCAGGGTGCAGTATAGTACCCATGAAACACACACCTTTCCTCTAGTTCATTGGTGCTTCCTTCACCCCACTATTATGACCTCAATTCTACCTTACAAATCAGATTAGACCAGAGCACTCACACTGCTACAGATAAGAGCCTGAAACACAAGGAATCCAGGATAGATAAACACCTCAGGGCCAACAATCAGAGTAGAGATACCAGTAGGATTAGGGGATGGTGGGGGAGAAAGGGGGACCTGATCACGAAGATCAACCTAGAACCTCCTCCTAGGGGGATGAATAATGGAAAAATGGGTGCGAGGCAACAAAGGACGATGTAAGATATGGAAATAATAATCTATAACTTATCAAGAGTACATGAGGGAGGGTGGGTGGAGGTGGGAGGGGGAACAAATAGGGAGCTGATATCAGGGGCTCAAGTCGGAAGACAATGCTGTGAAAATGATGATGGCAGCATATGTGCAAATATGCTTGACACACTGGATGAATGTATGTATTATGCTAAAACATGTAAGAGCCCCCAAAAAGTATTTTTAAAAGGAGCTTTATATTAAGAAGTAGTTATATATCAGGAAAGTATCCCAGCCCAGTCCAACCCAGTCCTTAAGTCTGACACTTGTCCATAAGTCCCTCTTCAGGCTCACTCAGCTACAAAGAATGATGCAAAATACAGGAAGATCACAGGCCAGTGGGCAAAAAGTCGAATGTATCTAATGGCGTTGGAAGCATTACAGGGCTCTGGAAAGTCCTAGAGTGGCTCTTTAGCAAGAAGGTGAAGGCAGAGAAAGAGAGGGAGGTTCCCAGGACCCTCCTTATGAGAAGGCTATGCCCACAAGAAGGTACCATCAGGCTGTGACCTGATTCACAGGCTAGACTCCACCCTTACACTTTTATATATCAAGTTGATATGAAATTATATAACAGCCACAGAAATATACCCATTGTTGTGGTTGAGGATACAGGGAATATGGAAAGTTATGAAAATTTGTAAGACTACCACATGCCTGGCTGGGGGTTCAGGACTATACATACTCTCAAGGGAAACCAAGGCCATTTGACATAATACTGTTACCAAAGAAAATGGTCTATACATCCTAATTGGTAAGTTGTGCAATTGTTAGTCCCCCCATACCCTAAGGAAAGGATAATGAAGAAAACTGAAGACACATGGAAATAATTAGTCCAATGCGCGAATGGGCCACATGAACATCAATGTGCATTACCCTGAAGCCAGGACTTTGTGGTACCTGACTGCCACAAATAAAGTGCTTTTTTAAGGTGATCATATTAGAAGGCCCTAGATAAGAGGAGAAAAATGAGGAACAAAACTCAAAAGCATTGAAAGGATAGGTTTACTGGTTGTATAGAGACTTGTAACACTCAAGACTGATTATTAGCGGGCCTTCAAGTCTAGAAATGAACTCATCCTCATAGCTCTATTTTCAGTCAAACAATAATACTAGTAATGTAGATACATCTAAGTATAATCAACCCTGGCAGTGTAGTGGTTACGTGTTGGGCTGTGGTCTGCATAATCAGCAGTTTGGACCCACCAGCAGTTCCACAAGCGAAAGACTGGGCTTTCTACTCCCATAAACAGTTACAGTCTTAGAAGCCCACAGGGGGTTGCTATGAGTTAGTATTAACTCGACTCGGTAGCAGTGAGTTATTTAACCCAGGACAAAGTTCAAAGGGCTAGAAAAAGAGAAGAAAAAATGAAGCCGGAAATGCAGGAAGAGTGCTAGGCTATGATACATTGAGGGAATTGCAATCAATGACACAAAACAAAATATATATTAATTGTAGGAATGTAAACTACTCTACAACTTTTATCCAATTGACAGTCAAAACATTTTGTTAATTAAGGAAACAAAAAAGGAGAAACATGAACATAAAAGGAGAGATGCACACATGTAGTCTTCCAAGGTACTAATATTAATGACTTACTAAGTTTTGGTGCAGTGTACACTTATAAAAGGTAAAATCAAGTCTTCCCATAGGGAACTGCGGTGCTTTGTCAAAATGGTTTCTAAAAATTTGACCCAGAAAACCCCACAAAACCATGCAAACCAAAAGCTCCAAATCTTCAAGTATATTTTAAGAACACCCATGAAACTGTCCAAGCCACCAAGTGTTTGAAAGCTGTCACTTTGTAGAAGCAACATGCACCTTTCTGACATTATACTGGTGGTGTTGATAGGAGTGCCCAGTCCAAACAGGGGGACTGGGCACAGGCTCATGAAAATAATACTGAATTTTTGCTGCACATGATTAATAATGCAGAAAGTAATGTCAAATTTAAGAGTTATATGTGGATTCCCTGATCTCTGAGCACATTCATGTAAACAAAGCCCCTAAGATGTGCCAATGCGCTGCCAGACTTTCAGAGTTCATGGTTTGATTAATCAAATAAATTTTTCCTAAATGAGAGATTACACAGAAGAAAAAAGATATCCAAGAAGAAACTGGAGATTGGAAAAAACCCTCATAGCTTTAGATAAATTAAGTTTAAAATAAAAGCTAATTAAAATAAGTTAAAAATGGTAAATAAATAAAATTATTATCTATCAAAATTTGTTCCACAGGTCAAATGAAATAATTACTTGGTTAATGAATTAGTGGTTCTCTACCCTTACTCCAGGAATCAAAACAGACTGTTTTCCTTTTGATAAAAAATATAATATCAATATCAAAATACACAAATATATTTAATTATGAGATTAGTAACATATACCATATACAGAGCTGAGTAAATTTGTTAAAGTAAGCTTTTCGAAGAAACACTTATTAGTATAGGATTTGGAATTAAATTTTAAAATTATCTCTAAGCATGAGCAGAATTTCTCAATGTTTCCTTGTTCTTTTCCTTTAAAAAGTATTCCATGAAATATCTGTACAAATATCAATTTCTTAATAAAATCACTTTGTTATAATGCATGGTAATAAACCACTTAAAATCTCTAAAATTAATTCTCTATAAAATCTATGACATCATTTATATCCTTTCCCGTTCCATTTCCTCTCTGCAAGGAGCTCTGGTTGCGTAGTGGTTACAACTTGGGCTGCTAACTGCAAGGTCAGCAGTTCAAAACTACAAGCCACTTTGTGGGAGAAAGAAGGGGCTTTCTACTTCCGTAAAGATTTGCAGTCTTAAAAACTTACAGGGACAGTTCTGTCCTGTCCCATAAGGCCACCATGAGTCGGGATTGACTCGATGGCAGTGAGTTTGGTTTTGGTTTGGTTCCTCTCCACATGTCCACATTCCCAAACTAAAATATGGAAAATTATTAATCATGCTTAACAGATAAAACATATGAGAAGAAAAATGCATTTATTATTTTTTATATATCTACTGGTTCAGTTACTGCAATAATATGCTACACTTACAAATAAAAATATCAGATTGAATATATAAAGCAAGTAGCTGAAATTTCTCACCAAAGTCCATGTTACCCTTTTCCAGATTTTTGTTCTTATTACTAAAAACTTATTCAGTAACAAACTTTCAGCTGCACTTACATTCCAGTCAATATTTGCAAAGAAGATATGCTTTTTTATTTCTTCAACGCCTTCTGAACCTATAAAAAAATGGCAATAACAAAAAGATTATGACTTTTAAACCGAGCTACCTAGCTTCCAGGTTATTTATCTATAAACAAAAGTATATATATTTCCTAGGTTCCATGCAGTGAAAGTTTCTATTTTTTTATCTTGAATTTTATTAAAAGGTTCTGATTTTAGTATGATAAAAATAACTGGTAATCACATCACATTGGCTATGTTATCATAAAATATTGAAGTACTTCATAAATAAAATCAAAATTATTGTTCAAAAGAACATAATTTAAGCACATGCTCTTTTAAATTTTTATTCCATAAAAATTAACTACTGCCAAATACGTAAAATGGTTACTCTTAAAAGGTATTATACTGCTAACTCTTTCAAAATAGGTCTTATGTATATACAGTACATAATACTGTCTTTGAAATAGAAGTTTCAAATAGATCACTTCATTTTGCTTAAATAATGTACATAAGTTTTTTATTGTTGCATGAATATTTGTAGCCACAATCATAAAAACTAGGGATAAATTAATATCAGTAAATGAATTAGCATCTGTAATCATAAAAGTGTAATTATCCCCAAGTACACAGTATAAAATTATAAAAGATGATACAAGTAACTATACCCAATCTATTTACTGGATTCCTTTTGAATAGCATCCTTAGAAGACTTTGTGCTTCACCACTAAGAAACTGAGGCATTCCAAGTTTTGCTCTGGAAAAGATGAGTTTAGAAATTTTCACTTATATAATCTAACAGTACTTCTGAATTGACAAATCTGGGGGGGTGGAAACGTATTTTAATAATGGTCACTAACGTCCTCTATATCATAGGAGAAAGTAGCAAGACAGTGAAAAATATTCTTTGGTGTCAATTTACAACATTAAGCTTCTCAAAAAAAAATAAGACACTGTTTATACTTACTTTAGTATCATATTCATGGTCTCATTTCTGTCTTTACCTTGAAATGGTAGAGTACCCGTAAGCATTTCAAACTAAAACAAAAATGAAATCACAATAGTTCATTTAGAACATCTTATATAATACAATTCTTTATTAAAAAGATACTTATCAAAATAGTATCATCTTTTGATGAGTTTAAATCAATTACATAGATAAGTGTTTAAGAAATTTAGGCGACCCATTTTGTTTGTTCTATCTAATTTAGTTAAATTCCAAAAGCCAAGGCTATTTGGAAATTGACAAAACATTTTTCTTTAAAGATATGCTTTCATGGTTTACATTTTATATTAAAAGAGAAATAAGAACCCAAAACTTCCAAATTCATACATAACCAAGACATTTTAAATCATTTCAACCCCCAAAAAAGTAGGGATAAAAAGAGGGAGGAAAGACTTCCAGAGGAACATGATCACCAGATAACAAGTCCAGGATGATCTGAACAATAATAAAATATCCCAGCGAGAAGGAAATCCTGTACTCCTTGGAAGCTAAAAAAAAACCTTAAAAGGTAAGTAAACCAAGGTTTCTCAAAGCCACAGATTGTGCATCAAAGTAGTGCAGTCACCATGTGGTGCAGGGCAACAAGTGCTCACTAGTTGCTGCACCAGGAACAGACACCACTCCCATGTTTCCCTTTCACAACAGAGTAGAAGCCCAATTTGCTTCTATGTACTATCCTCACCTGCCTACACACACACACACACACACACACACACACACACACACACACACACACCTGGTAGACCTGTATAAATAACAGACCAAGTCAGCTGCTTACTGCAGAAGCCCTCCTTGTCTGACCAGAATGTCTCATCCAAGCTGCATTTTTTT